CGGGCAGTGGACGCGCTCGCTTGTTCCCGCCATGCCCTGGGCCTGGCGTTCCAGGCTCCGACCCATCCCCGGGGCCTTCCGCGGGCCGCGGGAGCCAGGGAAATTCAAATAAAATAAATGCACTGATGATCACTCGACAACGCCATGCGCGGGCGCGCGCGAGTGCGCGCGCGGGCACGCCAACACACGGACATGCCTGCCTGTTGGCCCCCCCCCCCCCCCGGCAGGGACAGCTGGACGGATCGCTCGGAGGGTGGTGGGGATGTGCCCGGCACGCCGATCAATTTGGGGGCGGGGCTCGGGGATGGCTGCCGGCCTGATCGCCGACCACACGCATTGGCCGCGTCGCGAAAGGGCCCCCACACCCCGCCGGCGCCCTCTTGCGGAGAACCGCCTGTCTGGCCGATTGTTAGCCGACCGTCACATCGGGGGCTGAGTCCTCCGGGAACAGCGCTCACCTTCTGCTCCCGACTCCCCTCCACCACGCCTGCCCTCTCTCCCTGCTTCGCCTCCGCGCCCCCCCCCCCCGCCACCCGACCCCCCATTTCTTCTCCGATCCCGCCGCCGCCGCCGCCGCCGCCGCCGGCCGCTCCCGCGACCGCGTAGACTGGCCGGTCGCTGCCGTCTCGCCTAGCACCACCTGCCTTCCCCCTGGCCGCGGTCTCCGCGGTGGGTGGACAGTCGCTTGGCCTCGCCAGTGCGTGCCATGAGCCCGGCGCCGCCGTCGGCGCCCCACTTTGCCCGACGCCCGCCCGCTCTGTCCGATCGGGCCCCATGGTGACGCCGATCGCGGTGCCCGGCGTGACGCCGGGCTCGAATTACCCGCTCCCGGGAGGCCGGAGCTCCCCGTCCGGCGGTGGCCACCATCGTATCCCGAGCTTCGGCACGTCGGCCACGCCAACGGCCACCACCCCGCCCGGGGCCAGCTCCTACACCCCCGGGCACCCCTCCGGCGCCGGGCCGGACACCTGCAAGACCTTCTGCACCGATGGCCCGGTGCGGCCCTCCCGCAGATCCAACTATTACTACATCGAGCCGATGATCGATGGTCCGTCGATGTGTGATGGGGGCTTCTCCCTTGCTTTCCTTCCCCCCCCCCCCCCTTTCCCTTCCCCACCCACCGGCCCGGGCACGAGGAGCGCCTCACAGTCGGCCATACCATGACGCGGCCCCATGCTGACCTGACCACGCCCACACCCACGGCCCTTGCCCCGCATGCCCAGACATCAAGGAGCGTGTCCTTGCCGGGCAGAATTCCATCGTCACCGGCCCGCGCGGGAGTGGCTGCTCCACATCGGCCCTGGCGCTGGCGCATTGGTGGTCTGAACGCGGCCCGGCTCTTGTGTGCGTACCTGACCTCTACCCCGGCCAGCTGTGGCTCCGGTCCGGCCGTCCTGCCTGGCCGGCCTGCCTTCCCTCACACCTACCCTGTGCATTGCCCCCCCCCC